TGTTTATTTGTTTCTGCAATTTTTAGCAGTTGATGAGGTTCTTAGCAACTGTATAAAGGGGGCCATGCAGTGCAAACCATACTCTGATTCAATAGAGTTGTATTCGTGCGCCACTTCACTTTGTGAAAATAATACTGTTTGCTACTTTAACAGTTCCAGTATTAATCCTTTGTATAAAGCTCACAATATCTGAATCTCTCACATAGAAGTTTGTCTTGTGCTTGCATCTATGTTTGAGGACTTAAGTATGCACTCTGTGCGAAATTATTTGGTGCCATGACTGGGCCCTTTATAGCGGCATGTATAGATTCACAGACACTCAAGGTTTCAATCGATTAACATGCTTCATGCACGTCGGGGAAGCTGCTTACACTCAGGTTCACCAATATACTGAAGCAATTAGAGATTGTCTTAAATCTTTCGAAATCGACCCGGGTTACAGTAAAGCCTACAGTCCCCTTGGATTGGCATATTATGCTCAAGAGAACTACAGGGGTGCTAGTACAAAGTTCATCGGTTAAACTCTTATAAATTTTAATACTATTAAAAATTTATATAGTTATTAATAATTAAAATACACTCAAGCTAGATTGAACATTCATGTTAATATTTCCAATGAGATGAATTTGCAGGAATCATTAAAAAAAAAAAAGAAGAAGAAACGTGAGTGTAGCACTAATGCTTATTTGATTTTCTTGCATAGTCTGTCTTGCTTGATAATGTGACAAGGATGTGCTGGCTCTTATATTTATCTTTACAATTGTTTTGTTTCATACGATAGAGGGAGTCATATAGAAGTATCACCGTCTGTTACTTGCGCCACGCTAATTGCATTGAGAGATGAATCCAACTTGCTAGAGGTCATCCAGCAATCAAATTTCCATCCCATGGCATTGGTAATGTTTTTTCGACATAGAATTTTAATATTTAGTTATTTTTCTTTTGGCATTCAGTTTTCCTTTCTAATAAATAATTTTACCTCTGAAAGTTAAAGCAAAGAGAATACATGAACACACTGTATGCTTTCTTTTGGTTAATATCAACTGAGTTTATTGAATAGAGTGTTCAGTGCATTGGGATGTGTTTTAAACCATTAGAACATTGTTGGCAATATCATCGACAATTTAATGATTGCATTAGTGGAAGCGATGATGCTGAAAATTATTGTGTGAAACCTAAAGACTCATTATTACGGTAAATAATCTAAATTTTCATTTCTGATCTTTTTATTGTTTAGCCCTTGCAACTAGATCCCAACAGTGAATCGAACAAAGAAAATATTCTTTTAATTTACGTTTTTATTTATCTTTTAAAATAATTTATGTATATCTTAATTAATCTTATAAACTTTAAAGTTAATAATAATATAAATATCTAATAAATATCATATTAACAACTATAAAATTTAAATTTAAAACCATAAAAAAAACCAACTCTTTAATTCTAAATGTTTATTATGAGACCACCTACTATGTTGTTTATTGTTTTTTTTTTTTTTTAGATTAACATGGGTGTCTGGGTCAGCTTACGCGTACCACGACTAATTCCACGGGCCCTAAAGTTAACGACCATGTAAACCTCTAATAACTATTATATAAGTAACCAAGGATTCAAACTTGAAATCATATAGGAAACAAACCCCTTAATCCATGTTGTTTATTGTTCTTGTTAACACAGGTAGCTGAGCAGAAATTGAAACAACAGCAACGAACAGAATGGGACCAGGTGATTTTACTTTCCTGTTTTTCTCCGTCATTGTAGGATTGAATTCCTGGCCCACTATGATATGACAATTATTTAGCAATTTAATTTCATATTTTCATACCACTGTAAATGTTCTCGTCATCGAGAGAAATCTAGCTGTTCCTGCAATAGTGTTGCTATTCATAAATTATTTTGTTTTCAAGGATATAAGGAGGCGATATTTTATAAAAGTCTTTACTGTTTGCTTTTTTGTATTTTATAGAAGTCTTTACTGTTTGCTTTTCCTAATTTACCACTGGTACGTCATGCATCAAGTATCAACATCATTCTCCTCGTTTTCTTATTCTTCTTCACTTTAAATAGGAAATTTCTGAAAGAGTTCCTTTTCACTTTAAACAGGATTCTATAATATATTGCGGAAATATCATTAGAAAGTGCACTTTTATATGAACATTTCAAGGGCCATGTCCGCGTTGTGAATTGTCAGGTGCAAGGGACTTGGCGAGGAAAACAATGGCTCGTTACAGCTGGAAGAAACATGGGTTGGGCTGAATGTTGCTAGATTATTTGCGCATCCAGGTGGCGTCGAAGAGGAGGGCACTGTTTTGTCGGGACAGAAGCCCCAAGCCACACTTACCGACATGTTATTTTGTCTCGTTTACTGGTCATCGAATGATTCGGTAATCGGTATATGATGTTACTGGATTCAGGTTACCGGGATATCTTTCAAAGACATGAATTAATTCCAGAATAAACCAGTAAATTTGAAACGCACGGAGAAGGCTCTGTAGAATCTGCCGAGGGGAAAAACAAAGTTGCCTTTGGAAAGGTAATAAAGAAGTGGTTGCACCGAAGTTTCTGTTGATTCGGTGGTCCATGGAAGACATTAAGAAGTTGTCGCACATGTGTTCTCGGCGTGAAATTAAAGTTGTACCTTAACCTGGAGTGAAAAGAATTCTTTTCTCGAGCGGAGAAAAGGTTTCCCCCTTCCTTGGAAAATTCCGTAGACTGTGGGAACCGAGCATAGCTTTCGATTTTTTAAATTCTAGCTAGCAGAATTTTTTTTCCTAGTGATGTTTAGAAATACTTTGATTTTTTAAGATTATAATTAGAAAAAAAAATGAAGCTTGCTATTTAAAAATAATATTTCTTCATTCAAATAGAACAACTAGTTTTTTAGTTTTCTAAAATTATAGTGAGTCTTAAAAAACATTTTAGAGGTTTTTGGTGAAAATATTTAACTATTTTTTCAAATAAAATAAAAACACGAATAATATTTCTTTTCTTTAATATACAAGCACGTTTAGGTATTTTTTAACGGTGTAAAATATGAAAATAATTTTTTTATATTTAGTTAGTGTTATAAATTTAATTTTTATTGTAAATCAAATCTATTTTTTAAAGTAAAAAAAATATTAGATTTTTATGACTGTGATTTGAATGAAATGAAATTAATGTTGTATAATTAGATTATCATGTGTATAGAAATATTAAGATGATTGTTACAAATTTCAATCTTGATATTCTACGAGAAAAACTATTTTTTAATTTAAAAAATATAAAATTTCTAAGATAATTTATAATTCAAGTGAAATAAAATTAATATTATATAATTAAATCATCATGGATATAAAAATGTTAAGATGATTGTTATAAGTTTTAATTTTGATTTCCTGTGAAAAAAGTTATAAGAATCATCTTTCTTTCTTATTTTTATGAGAATAATCAATTTTGTTTTTGAAAAAGAAATACAATTTTTATTTTTCTACTGATAAAGAAAAACTGAAAAAGCAAAAGAAAACTGAAATTAGAAAAGTAAAATAGTTTTCAATTATTGAATATAGCCTTGATATTCTTTTTTGAAAGTGTACCAATTTCTCATGAAACAATTTTTAAAAATATCACATCAAGTTACCGAAAACAAAATCAATTATGTTTTGTTAATAGAATAACGCGTGCTTGGCTTTAATCTATAGCTCATATATTTTTTTTTTTAGATTAACATGGATGTTCGGGCCAGCTTGCGCGCACTACGACTAATTCCACGGGTCCTGAAGTTAACGACCATGTAAACCTCCAGTGGCCATCATATGAGCAACCAAGGACTCGAACCTGAGACCACAGAGGGAACAAACCCTTTAGTCCCAAGTCTTTACCACTTGATCACCACCTATAGCTCATATATTGAACGGACAACTTGATTTTAATTAAAACAAGAGAGTTAAATGGTTCAAATCCACACGAGAGAGGAGCTGATGGCATCAATGAAAATTATTTTTGAAAATTTTTATTTATTTAAATTAATATTTTATAATATTTTTAAAATTACATGTGTTGACATTAAAAATAATTTTAAATAAATAAAAAAAATATTTTAATAAATTTTTAAATAAAAAAATACTTTTAAAAATAATCATAATTATAAGTCTAAACACCTTGAAATAAAAAAAATAAAAAAATTACATTTAAAGATATTTCCTATACTTGAAACAAATTTATCTCTGGCTAGTTTAAGCTCTACTTAATTAACGCCTAAACAGTAACTAATCTTGCAGGTGGGAAAGAAGAAGAGTTGGATTTAGGAAGGCATGACAAAGTAGGGGTTGGGTGAATTATATGAGCCATACGCACCACATCCATGACTCTCCACTCTTCATCACCCGTTTTGCACGGTTCTGATCTCACCAAACTCAAACAGCCGATCACCAAACTCAAATAGCCAAATGTATGGCCCATAAGCAGCCAATTGTGTTCTGCGTTGGTACCGGGTGCGATGTCATATAACCACAAAAAAAAATTTGAAAGAAAAAATATAATTTTTTATATTTTTTCTTTTTCTGAAAAGTATTTTTTAAAAATAATTTTTATAAAAAATAAATTATTTTAAAATAATTTTTTTAATATTGATAATATCATAAAAAAATAACTTATTAATATTTTTTTAAAAAATAAAAATTAAATTTAATAAATAAAAAAGTTGAAGGAAAATAATATTAAAAAATTAAATTTTACAAATTGTTTTAAATAAAATAAATTTTAATAAAAATAAAACCAAATTTGAGGTAAAAAATTATAAAAGTATGAAATAAAATAAATAGCAATAAGAACCAAGAATAAAATAAAATAAAATAAAATTTTTAAAAATAAAAAATTTGATATAATTATTAAATAATATATTATTTTTGTTTTTTTTATAATTTTTTATTTTTTTAAATTTTTAAAAAATAAATAATCATCGAAAGTTTGAAAAGAAAATAACTTTCCATGAAGATATAAGTAGGGCTTAAAAAGAAAAAGAAAAGAGAGAAAGGGTCAACACTAGAAAACAAAAACAAAGACGGAAGTTTCAGTAGCTCCGCAGGGCTCCCGCAACTCCAACCCCTATGCCCTCGATCTTTCCACCCGAGCCTTTTTTCTTGAAAGAAGACTTGTCCTCCCTACAAAGTTGACTATTGTAAAACGCTTCCGTTTCGATCCTCCCTCTATCCTTAAATTGCAAATCCTCTTGCCATTGTTAAAATCTTGATTTCCCATTTCCACAGACACAGTATTCAACGAAGCCATCCCCGCCCGGTAATAACAATCTCACTCTACAACGTTATCAGATTTTTTTTATGCTGTCTTTAATAGCATTTGTTTTATCGTATATAGATATCTATGTTGACATCATTCGTATCATCTTCTTTCATTTCATGCATCTCCACCCATGTTGTTATAATCAAAGACAAGTCTTTGTAATGACGGAGTATTCCTTTGTTTTTCTCCTTCTATCTCAATTTGTCGAGCTGCTGCAACTATTAATTACTACTTTATTTAGTTTCACTGGAAATAGATTGATTGGATTATCATGAACTGATGGCGATGGTGATGTCTCTGGTGGTTATTAGGTAACAACTAAGATAAATAAGAAAAGTGATGTCTTGTTTGTTTTCAGGATTTAGAAAGATTTGAATTGAAAGATGAGTCCATACATAGTAGGTGTCCTAGTTCCTCTTCTAGTCACTCTTCTCTATCAGAATTCCAAGAATACAAAGAAACGTGGGGTGCCTGTTGATGTTGGTGGGGAGCCAGGATATGCCATTCGCAACTCTCGATTTCCAATCCTCTTGGAAACTGCATGGGAAGGTGTCTTTACTCTTGCTCAACTTTTTGAGCTGGCGTGCAAGCAACATGCAGATAAATACTTGCTTGGGACGAGGACATTAATCTCAAAGGACACTCAAGTATCTGCCGATGGAAGGTCTTTTGAGAAGCTTCATTTGGGAGAGTATGAGTGGCTGACCTATGGGGAAGTGTTTGAAAAGGTGTGCAATTTTGCTTCTGGGTTAGCTTACCTTGGGCATAGAAGCGAGGAACGTGTTGCGATATTTGCTGATACAAGAGCAGAGTGGTTTATGGCCTTACAGGTGCTCTTTCTTTTGTGAATATTGTGTGTTTTACTTTATACGATTTCTTTTTCAAGGAGCATGTTATATGAAAAATGCTGTGAGCGAGCTTGTGTTTTGTGAAGTATAATTCCTTGCAGAAGTCTTTGGCATTCACATTCATCTATATAGTTGACAAATGATATTTCAGGTGTATTACTTTCAGTGGGCCAAAATCCGGCTACACGTCACATAATATCCTGAGTAGCTAATGGGTTTATCTTGTATCAGGGTTCTTTTAGGCGCAACATTTCTGTGGTTACCATCTACGCATCTTTGGGAGAGGAGGCACTTTGCTATTCATTAAATGAGGTTACCCCCCTTCTCTTTCTAGTTAACGCTCCAATTTGCTAGATTGGCATTTGCCCCGACACATTTCTGTAATCCTATTTGTTCGAACATGTTATTGGTTGGAAATTGAATGACTGACTGCAGTTAGCATGCTGGTATAATTTTTTGCCCCTGTCCCTTTACTGCATATTGCTCAGTTGTAATTTTGAGTTTTCTTCTCTTCAGACAGAAGTTACAACTGTGATTTGTGGGAACAAAGAACTGAAAAAACTTGTAGAAGTAAGTGGTCAGCTTGACACAGTGAAACGCGTGATATGTATGGATGATGATATTCCATCAAGTGCATCATTGGTGGAGCAAAGCGGTCGCTGGAGAGTTGTCTCAATGGCTGCCGTGGAGAAACTTGGACAAGAAAATCCAGTTGATGCTGTTTTACCTCTAGCAGCAGATGTTGCAGTTATAATGTACACAAGTGGGAGTACTGGGCTGCCTAAGGTCAGGAGCCTCTGTTATATGATATGCATCTTCCGCTTCCTCTTTATCTTGTTCAACTTCACTGTATTGCATCTTAGTTGGTTTCTCATTGGTTGGTTGTTAAGGAGTAACTTGGACTTGCATGTGATGTTTGAATTGATTATGTGAGGAATCCTTATTTACCAAGGGTCTAAGCATCCTCCTAACCTCCTCTCTAAACTACTTCTTGGCTGTTTACATCGATGAGATGTTGGAGCCAACTTAAAGCCTAAAGGCTCCATTACAGCACACATTCCAGATGTTTGACTTGTGTGTAAAGTAGTGGACTGGCAATGATCTATCGATTTTATGCATCAGATGAGGAAATTTGTTCCCTTGGTGTTCCTAAGCCCGTGCTGGTACTTGTGTTTCTTGACATGACATTCGTTGTTGGCATGATACAATAATTTATGTTAAAGACAGGACTTAGAAGCTCTTCCATAGAAAAGATTTATTTGTTTTTTTATAGTGTTTAGGGTTTTTAGTCAGTATTACCGATCCACATCTATATTCTTGTTGTTTTAAATAATAATATGACCCCATATCAGAATCTAGCAATTAGTTATTTACTTCTATTATGTTCATTCTATACAGGGTGTGATGATGACACATGGTAATGTCCTAGCTGTAGTTTCTTCTGTCAGGACAATTGTTCCTGGCCTTGAAGGCAATGATGTTTATCTGGCTTACCTGCCATTGGCTCATATCCTTGAAATCGCGGCAGAGGTATTGGGCTTTTATTCAGTTGGTGATTTACATAACCAGAGTAGCCACATGGCTTCTCATATCCCCATGTAAATTCATACACACAACTGTATACATGCTTCACTTCATTGTCTATGTTACAGAATGTAGTTGCAGGTGTTGGAAGTGCTATAGGATATGGAAGCCCGTTGACTCTCACCGATACATCAAACAAGATCAAAAGGGGAACTAAGGGGGACGCAACTGTCTTAAGGCCAACTGTGATGGCAGCTGTTCCAGCAATTCTTGATCGTGTACGAGAAGGTGTGCGGAAGAAGGTCAGGGAATTTTGACAAGTTCTCATCTCTCTCTCTCTCTAGCGCGTTCGCGCGCTTGCACGCGCACACACTGCGTGCATGTTTTTGAATGACATCTTGTCTGAAAACAAGTTTGGTTGTCAAAACATATTTGACATTTCAGGTTGATGAAAAGGGTGGCATTACCAAGAAACTATTTGATTTTGCATATGCTCGTCGAATATCTGCAATTAACGGTAGCTGGTTTGGAGCTAGGGGCTTAGAAATGCTTCTGTGGAACTTCCTGGTGTTTAGAAAGGTTCGGGCAATTTTGGGAGGACGCATCCGCTTTTTGCTTTCTGGGGGTGCTCCTTTTTCTGGTGATACTCAAAGATGTATCAACATTTGCCTTGGGTTAGTATGGCCTTAACGAATTTTTGTGTATCAATGATCTATTTTAACTATGGAACTGGAGTTCAAATATAATCATGCTAATTTTTGAAAAATTATATTTCTATCCCTGATTGTTGTTTATTTCAATAACATTCAGAAAGAGCTATAATATTATCCAGCAAAGCATCAGAAAATAATTACTGCTTGGCGTCATGGTTATGACCCCTCATGGAGTTGCATTTTTCTTTTCCAAATTCATGCAATGTGGCAACTTGGATTTTGAGCCCCCAAGTAATTTATTTCAATATTCTTTGAAGACTTCAATATAAAAGATGGGCTTCCAGTTAGAAAAGAGAACTTATCTATTTTCGTTAAGACTGAATTTTGATGCTAGTTCATGAAATGCTAACATGCCTTCTTAAGTAAATGCAAAAATGTTTTAGCTAGTAGATCCATCATCAGATGAATCCATTGTCACCTTTCAGTATGATTACTGCTACAAACACAAATGATCAACCACAACCACATTATCAGGGCTATCTTTTTTTTAACCAAGTCCACACTTTAAATTTTGGTCTAGTGTTTTCCATTTTTCTGCCACTGAGCAACAGTCAACGGATTCATACAGGGCTCCAATAGGCCAAGGCTATGGTCTCACCGAGACTTGTGCTGGTGGGACATTTTCTGAGTTTGACGATACATCTGTTGGTCGAGTTGGTAATCCAGTCCCTTGCTCATATATTAAGGTAAGCTATGATTAATAATTAATGGTTGATTTTGAAAGCTCGTGCTGTTCTGTTCAGAAATTTCGAAGTCATGAACAATGATCTGCTTAGTAGGAAATATTTGTCATGAGCCTCAGCACATGAGATGGGGGTGCTTTTTAGCAAGGGTTTTCTGGGTATGCCACCTGTATTCTCATGTCCTGCGAGATTTTAGCCATCTGGGGCTAGTTCAAGAAATAAGTGGATTTTTGGTTTTGATCTTATGTTTTCGTTGTTGGCTGATATGCTATAATGATTTCCAACAGTTATTCTGAAATCCTGGTTTTCATATAACTGCAATATATTTTTATGTAAAATGCTTTTGTCAATTAATGGATAAATATCCCTTCTTGTTTGCATGAAGCTTTGTCAGTAATACAATGTTGTCTGCATGGTTTTTTTTTCCCATTTTTTCTTGTGGTTTTGATTTGATCATCTCATCTCCTATTTTAAGTCAGTGAATGAATGAAGTAAATTTTAATCATGTAACTTGGTTCCTTTTCAGTTAATAGATTGGCCTGAAGGTGGGTATTTAATTAGTGATTCACCAATGCCTCGTGGGGAAGTAGTTATTGGTGGTCCAAATGTTACTGTGGGATACTTTAAAAATGAAGCAAAATCAAAAGAGGTGTACAAGGTAACAACAAATCAAAGTTTCATACCAGTATTTATCATAGAGAACTAACTATATGCTGAAAGAAAGAAGTCGAACATAAGCTTAACTGTGCCAGTTTTTTGTTTTGAAAAGGTTGATGAGAGAGGAATGAGGTGGTTTTATACAGGCGATATTGGACAGTTTCATGCTGATGGTTGCCTTGAAATAATTGATCGTAGAAAGGACATAGTCAAGCTTCAACATGGGGAATATGTATCCTTAGGAAAGGTATCAATATATTATCATAAAATGCTAGTTTCCATCACATTTTTGTCGGGATTAATGTTTTCCTTGCAGGTTGAGGCTGCTCTTATTGTGAGCCCCTATGTTGACAATATGATGCTGCATGCGGATCCATTTCATAGTTACTGTGTAGCCCTTATTGTGGTTGCACGACCTGTTCTAGAAGAATGGGCTTCAAAGAGGGGAATTGCATTTACTAGTTTTGCAGAGTTGTGCGAGAAAGAAGAAGCAATAAAAGAAGTGCAGGCATCACTTGTGAAGGTATGCCTTTTTTATCATAATGTTTTAATTTCCAGATTAGGAAAGGGTGCCAGTGAATGTTTAGCTTATGTCTCCACCCATTTCAATAATTATGGCACAAATTACTCAGAAAATTTTGGAAAGCAACATTTATGCAACACTCTTGGATTCTCCGATTCAGATAATAAAACGAGTGTATACAAAAATATACTCATGAAATGCTACGAGCAAGCGTTTGGAGATAAGACATTTGTAGAGCCTTTATTTGAATCTACGAGGCATAAAATGGTCAGGAATAAAAATTCTGTCCACTTTTTTAGTTTCATCCTTTTTGGGTGTTGCCAAAATTGGGTATCCCACCGACATTTGCCTTGCTCATAAGGCACTCCTGATCATGCTTTTCTTTTTTAAGAACTTTTGCACGAGATAGAAAATTATAGTCTCTATTGTTTCAGATAAATTGGTCTTAGATGGTTTTATCGTCTAGATTGTTGTGCATAATCTTGTTACCTGACGTGGGAGTTTCAAGGTGTGCATCGAAATTGTTCTTATGAATCTTATCTTAATATATGCCTGGTGGAGCACTTGGTCTTGCCTGCTAGCTCAGGATTTTACCACAACACCCGTATGTGAGCAACAAGAGAGGAGCACCCTTGTAGACAGCTGGAAAACAAAATGTAACTAGATTTATTACAAGTGAAAACTCTTAAAAGATCAAATATAAATAAATGAATAAATATATAATTTTTATTCTTTAAAGTCTCACTTCCTAAAATGCTATTATAGCTCTTATAAAAAAGGAAACTCTAGTAATACTAAATAAAAAAAGAAAAGTATTCCTTTAAATAGGAAAACTAGAAAAGCTTAATGGTACTTGATAGGAAAAAAATAAAATTACTAAACTAAAAACAAACAAATAAAAATAACTGAGGTCGAAGAAGCGACTGCATCAATCGTTTAGTTATACAACCTTTTGTTTTCTGAACAGCTTAACAAAAAGGGTCAAGCTGCTTTTGACTGCATGCCACTTTTTTCTTTATTTTTAATCATCGTTGCATTTTGCAGGCAGCAAAGGCAGCACGACTGGAGAAGTTCGAGATCCCAGCAAAGATCAAATTGCTTTCTGATCCATGGACTCCTGAAACTGGCCTTGTCACTGCAGCTCTCAAGCTCAAGAGAGAGGCCATCAGGAAGGCGTTCTCTGAAGAACTCTCGAAGTTATATGAATAGTGAGTTAAAAATTCGGTTTTTATTTAGTGATCGTGCACAATTTTTGACGAGTTACTGACTCTAGTTGTAAGATCTTACGCTCTCACATTTCCGCTCTGTTTCATTTTTTTCAAACATGTATCCTGTAATAAATTCTCTTTCTTGACTCCCTATTTTTTTCACCAAAACGGAACCAGTATCTTGCTTGATTTTTAAACAGCTGACCGAGGATACAATGCTATGCTGCCTAAAATTTACATAAATTATTAAAAACCTTACAAGATGTTGTCTCCCAGGATATGCTGGAGAGGAAAAGAGTAGAGAAAATCCTGAAGGGCAACACGGATTATAGGACAAAAACTAGATATTTAAACTGCCTTTCACATGGGTTATATTTTTTTTTCTCAACAAAAAAAATTATATATAAACTTTTTTTAACATGTTTTTGTATTTAAAAAAAATTCTAAGTGAAAGTTTAAAACTTTATATATGCATGTTATTGAATAAATTAAAAATCATGTGTTAATAAGTAAAAGAAAAAAAAACCATAAAAAACTATAAATGATGACTAAAAATAAAAATTAGAAAAATCAAGAGATAGTTTTGAATTAAGATATTTAATTTTGTAAGATATAGGCTAAAAATTAGAAAAATCAAGAGATAGTAATTAAGATATTTAATTTTGTAAGATATAATATTTACATGGTTATGTTTGTTAAATTTTTTAATTAAACTAATTTTTTTATTTACGATAATAATATATATTAAATTTATTGAATAAAAAAAGAAAAAAATAATGTGTAGTGTTTACATATTAAAAATATTATTTAAAAATAATTCTTTTTTATTTTCAAAAATAAAGTTTATCTATACAAAAGATTAAAAAAATATAGATTAATCAGAAAAATTTTCTCAAAAATTAAATATATAATTAAAAAATAATCATAATTTCAAATAGGTTTTCAAAATAACATAAAATAGAAAAGGGATATTAATCTAAATAAATAAAAATAAGATTAAAATTAATTTTTTAAAAAATAGAAATTAAAAAAATCATAAACAAAAACAGTTCAAAATGCTAGGTGAATCTTTATGATAATTGTCATAACCTTAATAATTATTAAAATAAAAGTAAATAATTCAAGATCTTCAAAAATCACAAAATCACAGTTAAATGAGCACCCTTAAAAGATCAAGACACGTACGACAACACCTATTTTACTCCTAAGCATCATTGTTACACGTTTTTGCTTCTGTTTTTCTAAAATAGTACTAATCAAATCCATGCGTTGCAGCCTTGCAGGGATGATATAATTTTAACTATTTAATTAATTATGTATAATCAATTATTTCGCAATTTAACTATAATTATGTATAACAAACGGGCTCTAATGTATCAAAAAATGATATAGTCTTACTATATAAATAAATTATGATTATTACATGAACCGGGGTTTATTATGGTACTGTGCGTTCACAAACTGATGGGATGGATCTCACATAATTTAACCGGAGCCTGCCATTTTCTCTAGAGTTTGATGGACTATTCTTGAAGGAAGAAAAATAAAGATTTGCAATGTTTCGAATTTTCGTGCACTAAGAGAAAGGTAGAAAGAGGATAGAGCAAGCCAACAAGCTGCTGCCACCCGTTTGTAAACACAGCACATAATCATAACCGTCCATACACACACACAGTGCAAGCCAACAAGCGCAGCTCTGTCGGAGAAGCAGTACTAGTTGTGGTCGGAGTTCTGTTCTGTCACTTTGACTCTCGCACAAAAATGCGGACCGGAGAGAAGCAAAGCTCGCACATTAATTAATATTCTTAATTATTTCTTACCACTCCCTTCGTACAGAGCTGCCGTTTATGTTGGATTCGTGTTTAATCGTGGCCTCACGTGTCCACTAGAACTGTGTTTCTTTAACAAGACAGTGTTGTCTGGATGCTATATATATATATATATATACACACATAAAGGTTTTTAAAACTTGCTTGAATGATCATGATGCATCACCGAAGCATATATATAATATTATAACAATGATATAGAATATGGTACCTAGCTAATTAGTTTAACTTATTATTAGGTGAGAGGTGTGATGAGTTAGAGATAAGACTCTGGCGGATGATATTTTGGAGAGCTAAGTAGGATTAAGAGGGTAAGATTAAAAATATAAATTATCTTACTTTTATATAATTAAAAATCCTCACCAATTTTCATATATTTTTAAATAAAAAGCTATTTATATCATATGAAATATAACAATCATTCTATACATATGAGGAAGTTGCATTATATTTATTTTCAACGATAAAAAAATATTTATTGTGCTATTTTTAAAAAATTTACCTAAACTGGTTTATGATAAAGGACTGTAAAATCTAATGTAACAATTTGGTATCTTGAACTTTATTTTTACTTTTAAAATATGAATGTTGGACTTGTTAGGCTTTCACTCATTTTACTTGGTTATATCTATAATGCCTACTCATTTTACCCTGATCCATATTCACATGCAGGTAATATATTTATGTGAAAAAATATATTTAAAATAAAAAGAGTCAAAACGACAAGTAAATTTATAAGGATATGTATTTTAAAAAATAAATATTATTACCTGACCTTGCCAATAAAATAATAATTTATTATAAGACATAGAACTGAATAAAAAAAGTATCCCAAAGACATCAGTTAACTCACATGTCCAAATTCACCCACACATGCATATACTGAAAACATATTGAATTTTTCAACTTCAACCAGTTTAAGAATCATATTACCAATGGGTTTATTCCTTGATTAAAAAAAAATAAACAAATTGTCACTCAAAAATAGCTCTACTTATAAAGAGTGGCAAAACTAGAAAATTTTAAATGAAGGGACAAATTATAAATATTTGATATTATATATTATATAAATATATGTTATATATAGAAAAATCAATCTGAAATGCATGTACCAAAGCATGTCAAGCAAACTTAATGTAAAAATATTTTTAAAATAAAAAAACTTACATTATAATTATTATTTTTTTAATTTTTATATTTTAAAATTACTTAATAATGACTTCATTATTAATTTCATTAAAGATATTCTTTTTCAATATATATAATGAAACTTTCATTTATCTATTTCTAAATCTTCCAGGGACTAATGAAATTATTGACAATAATTCTTTGTTAATTTATTGTTTTACACAAGTGGGTTAAATATAAATATTAATATATTTTTTTAATTTTTTTATTATATTATAAATTTTTTTAGTTATTCAGTATTTCATTTTTAATTACTAGTATATTGATTACCATCATTTTTTATATGAAAATCATAATAAAATATATATTAATTTATCAAAACTTATTTCAATTCATATTCGTATGTATGTAATGTTATACATACACATATTAATTTAGCAAATTTATAAATTATCATATTATTAAGGAATAAAACTAAAATTAGACAATGAAATAAATAGAAAAAATGAAGGAAACTTAAAACATTAAGTATAAAATATAAAAGATTACTTAATTAAGTAATAGTTTAGAATTTAAAACAAAATTGTAGAAGAAAACGGAGGCATGAACAATAATTCAAAAAACGAAAGAAGAAAAGCTTGTTAAATTATTATATTAAAATTTTATTACAAAAAAATTTTAAAAAAAGAATTAAGGGGGCAATTGCCCCCTTAATTTTCATTGTGGCTCCATTACTACTTATAAGATAATAATTTATTATTTAATAAAAAAAATGAGTTAAGTCAATTCACATATTTAAATTCATATACACACATAAATCAATTTCTAAGACAAAAGATTCGTTTAAGGGTCATGGGTTGATTCTAGAAAAGAAAACATATGACAAAGATATATTCTTATTATATAAAAATAATAAAGTATAACATATGAGTTACAGAACTCATCATTTAATGATCATTTAAGTATCATATTATTATTGAACTTGATAAAAAAACAAGAAATATTTTTATATGTGAAGATAATACTTGCCCTCTTTTAATTTTTTTGAAAAAATTGTGGAAAATCATTATTTGAGCACAAATTTCCTTTCGACTATAAATACACATCTTCACATGTATGCATCCGGACATAAATCAACCATTCCACACATAAAAACATCCATACATGAAAATCAAAACTTCCACACATAAAATAAAATAAAAATCAACACAACCTCGTGCAAAAATTAAACCATTTCACCTTTGAATTCCGTCCTCCCATTCTTTTTTCAGGGCGTTGATCTCAATCTTATCACATTGAAAAATACTGTCTCCAGCGGCTGTCACGAAACAACTTGAAACTTAACATATCAAATATTTATTTTACAAAAAATAATGATATGTTAAAGATTATAAAGACATGAGAAAAAAATGTTTGGGTTTGAAAACGATATTGGAGAGCTGCTGGGGTCAACCGGAAAATGCTAGAATGGAGGGTAGGCTTCGCTGGCACGTGGAAATCACGTGCTGGCGCGTTGAAATGTGCTTAGGACTATGACATGTGTGCTTCACGCTCCGGTACTATCTCTCTCTCTCTCTTGTTGTGGTTTGATATTTTTTCCAGGGTGTTTTTTGGGTTGGATTTTTAGTTTGAATTGGAGGGAGTTGGGTGCTTAGGGTAGTGTTTTTTTAGCTGGACCTGATGGTTTTGTAGGGGCAGGTTTGGCCGGGTTTAATGGTGGGAATAGGTTTTTTTTTTGCTGGAGGAGGAGGAGAAAAGGGAACAATGTGACTGGATGAGAGGGTTGCTGGAAAAAATATAGTGAATTTTTTCTTTAGTTTCTCTCTGGATTCTTATATGTCCATGCCCTTTATCTATTGATAGCTTCTTCTCTGTTTACTTATTCATCTCTTCATATTAATTTGTCATCCTCCTCCTCTTATCTTTCTATTTTATTCTCTCCTAGTCTTTTTATGTCGTTTTGGAAAAGGGTTTAAACTCTCGTGTCTATTATTTGCTCCCTGTATTTTCTATTTTCTCTATTTTTTATGTCTACGAAAAAAAAAAGAAGGTAAAAAATAGATTGTGACATAGATTAGAAGGGAGACCTTGAATGTTCAAAGATGTTGACATTTAACGTAAATAATCAGCATATTTTTTTTTTGATTTACGTGGGGTGTTCGGGCCAGTTTGCGCGCATCACGACTAATCCCCACGGCCCACTGAATATCCTGCAAACCCAGTAGGCATGTAAGGCATCGCGGGGGTGACAGGCGTGCACGCTAGGACTCGAACCCAGGTGCAGTGAAAGGAGACAAGCCCTTTCCACCGCTAAGCCAAGCCCTAGTTTACAAATAATCAGCATACTTTGATTTCGGTCGAACGAACCCATAAGAGCGAGCAGAGTCAACAACCTAAATTCCTGAAGTATTTAATTTGTCTTTTGAAGCCATCGTTAACCAGTAGGCATAAGGGGGCCACAAGGAGTTAATCAAGATAACGAAGGGGAAACGATGAAAAAGAAGAGATGGACGAGGCAGCTAGAGACCTTTAAAGCTGTGGGAAATGTTTGGTGGGAGAAGAAGGTTACAATTTGCATTAAGAGTCGATGAGAGAATTACGTGTATGTTTAACTTGGAGGTGTGTTTGGTTTTTTGTTTAAGTATAACTTTTTTAAACTATAAATTATATCTTATAAAAATAAAAAATACATAATTTTTTTATATAAATTCTACATACTAAAAAAAAAACTACCAATCCTCTAAGCCAAACACCCCTAAAACAGGGGTGGCTAGAGGAGACCCACAATCCTGCATCCAAACTTTGGCCCATGATGGGAACTTGACTTGAAGGCCACCAAAATGGAAACAGCCCTCCTTCTCCCCATGTGACTATTAGCTTCTTTGCTTCCATCACTTTTCGAGCCTTTTACGATTTTTTGTTGGGAGCTCATCTTCTTCCTTTTCTTGTTAACATTTAGTAGATTCCTTCTATCCCTGTACCACCATAATAATACAATAAATGATGTGCCCACGAGAGATTGCAATGCATTTACAAGTCTACTACTCTACAGATGGGTGACAACCTTTTGTGGAGCGCAACGGACAAGAGAAAGAACAAAAACAAAGAAGAAGAAGAGGAGGAAAAACAAAGACACCACCACGAGGTAACTTAATTACTTGCAAATTCGGAGGAATTATAAAATATGTATCTCGAGGAAAATTGTAACCGCCTCCAATGATTGTTTGGCGTGACGTATAGTACATTGCAAGGATTATTCTTGAATGCGTGACACGTTAAGAAATGTGTTGAAGGTGGTTTGATCTTTTTACCTATAGTCGAAAACTATATAAATTATCATGAAAACAAATTAATACAATTTGAAAAGTTCACTTTTGCAAGATTCATGCCACAAAACTCTGACGGGTTCCACGCTCTAACCCACATGCTTTGGTTCATAAAATCATCGTTAGAATCCTAAGGGTCCGGCGACCAGAGGAAAAAAACAAAAGAAAGAAGAAAAGTTACAGAGTGGACAAGTTCTAAGAAACTAGATGTAGTATTTTAATCAAAGCAACTGGCCTCAATTCGAGTGCCCTACTTCCACCACCTTTTTGTAGTTCCAAAATTAAACGCGAGCTGCAAATCTTGACTCAGCCTTCTCCCGAAGAACCATTCCATAATCCAATATCTCCTTAGAGAGCAAGACCTGGTCTATCTGGGGAAAATAATTAGCCACTATAGTCAATTGGACATTTTCTTTCGTGGAGGATTGAAAAAGCTAAGGCCCCTGGATTATTAGTTAATTACTTGTTAATCACCTCAGGACTAAACATTTTATCCCGAGAAGAATGACTTTTATTCTTAATATTATGGATAAAGATGCTTTAGAAAAGTTGGAAAAAGTGAAAAGAAGCTAGGCAAAGAAGGCGAGTTCCAAGGAGAAAAACCCAATTCTTAGGCGAATCTTGTTTTTTTCTAAAAGGGAAAAGGATTGCCATCCACCATGGCCTCAACGTTGTAAATCTTAACCATGGGCCATAAAAAATTATAAAGTTTACCTAGTGTACAAGAATGTCCATGAAACATTGAGATCCCAAAGACCCCTTCTCCTTTTGTTATATTTTTCAAACTTAACCGATAGTGATATTTCTTGGTGGACCGTCTTTACTAGTACTATAGTCTTTCTTGTGAATGGATTCTTTCTTTAAAAATTAATACATGATAAAGCCCTCTACAAATTAATTTAAATTTCACTCCACCATACATATATACACAGCACTCAAACACACATTCCACTACAGCCTCTCTCTCTCTCTCTCCCCCTCCCCCACCCCTGCAAGTCCACAGTATTTTGATCTCTTGCTCTGTCTTCCTCTACATTCTCTTGATCACCGTACCATGAATGCCTGTAGATCAGAAGATAATTCATACTGTTATTTCCATCCCAAAGAGGTTTTTGTCGGGATTTGCCCATTGTGCTTGAATGAGAGGCTCCTCATATTGGCAACGAAGCAAGGTAGCCTTTCTGCAGCGAGAGAAACTCATAGGAATGAAGGTACAGCACACAGGAAGCCACCCATCAACCTTACAAAGATTTTTGCTTTTGGTTACCTGCTAAATCGGTTTGAATTTCGGCACTGGAAGTCTGATAACTCTGGCCAAGACGCTGCCTCCACCAGTCAAGAAGGTATTTTTTCTGTTCCTATTGTTGTTGTTTGCTGCTAATGTTTTCTGTTGCTGCTGCTGTTATGTGGCATTATGATTGCTTGTAATGTGGTTATAAGAGTCCCAGTTCCTTGATGTTCTCGATTCCCTCCAACATAAGGGAAACTAAAGCATTGCTTATTTGTTTGTCTGTATAAGCAAAATTATTGTTTGTGTAGTGACAAATGTATGGTCAAAGCATACACATAACATCCTCACTTAGCAGATTGGCTGATGAGATTTAGAATCTTGTTAATTATCATTATTATTTGTTTCATTATGTTCTAATCATTCTGCCACGTCTTACATTTATCCCTAATTTAACAAATTAACATCACTACTGTAAAGTTGAAAATTAATGGAAAGAGCCTGTGATTCGTGAGTCTGTGCGCGCGCGCGCTGTGGAAACTAGCTAGTCCACATCATTGGATCAATGAAAAGATGGATTTTGAACAATGAAAATTCAATCATAGATATACAATTATGGATATATAATTTCATTAGTGCATAATTAAGCATACGCGTTTACCTTTGATTAATTACATATATCATGTTAATATTCGACATACATATAGATCATGCAAACAAAATCTAACGAGGGACCCCTTTGGATATCATTTCCGGCAATTCATGTCCTTGTAGCGTGTTTTTTTTATAAAAAAAATTTAGGAACGGGGGCCTAAGCTCAAATGTCCTTAGCATGTTATGTATGGTTAATGTATACAGCGCATGAGTCTCCATTTATTTTGTATTTATATATTACCGATGCAGTTAAAATGTAACAATATGCTTCCAAAAAGTTTGTGTACAGAATATATATGCTACTTTTTTCTTAGCTTTTGCAGACTCCTTTATATCGATTAAGTTTGAAGACAATGGTGCTGCCTTGTGGGAAAAAGGCACAGTTTCTAAGGTCTCTATCGAGCCTGGCAGCAAGTCATGGAATCAAAATCTGAACAAGGAAGCCAAACAAGGCAAAGACACTAAGGAGGCCATGACTGTGATAGGGCATGCAAAACCGCATGCCTCACTTAGGTGGCGAAGGAGGATTGATCATATGTTCCAGCTTATCAGAAGGAAGAGATCATCCAACAAAGGACATATGTGCCATGTGGGCACCGAGGTGGAGGGAGTCAAGGTGAGGAAGGGCTGGATAAGGACCCTGACAAAGAGGAGAACCAAAGAATAAAGAGAACTCTATAGAAAGGGACACCTGCCTTTTCCACCACACCGTCCTCTTTGTGGGTTGAGGTTCATTTCGGACTGTAAAGTTCTATATTATTGAGATGGTAGAGTCAAAATAGCTCCATCAAGTGTTTAAAAAAGTGCTTGGCTTTGAGATTCGCGGGGTTCTTTATTTTTTCCATGTTTATAAACAGTACAGGCTGTAAGAGATTCGGTGCAATGTGCTTTTGCTTCACGATTTGCGTTGATGATATTGAACATACCTAATAGAGAGAGATATTTGTGAATTCTTTTCCCATGCTAAAACTAGTTGACCTCACGTTAGGTGCACATACAGAGGGGGGAACATGGGGCCATTCAAGGGCCTCAATGGAGGATAGTGCTTACACTTTGATCCTTCGTTCGTGTAATTCCTTCCTAAAAGAGCACCTAATCCATGAGATTGTAAAGAGCTGTGTATGAAATTCTCTTATGTTTATTTTATGTTTCATGAATTCAGAAATTAAGTTCGTCATTTTGCATGGGCAAAGAGGCCATGAGGCTTGGTGTGTTCATGAGGGGCCCTTCGCTAGGGCATGTCACGTCCCAGTTTCAACTCCATTGATAGGACCATTCCTTCATAGGACCGCGAGAAAAGCCTCACATGGAGTGGGCGAAAATGACAAGGCAGGCATTAGTGTTCAACCAACTCCATCAACAACAACACAGAAGAGGATGGCATGTGGATCTATTAGTTGCGTAGGAAAATATATGACTGGACCTAAATTCCTTTGTTCCCACGGCACTGTATTATGGCACCTACAACCAATTTCTTTCCAAGAACATATATAGATTGAGTTACACTTAATCAAAGTTTATGCAATAAACACACACAATCTTGAATTAATATTCTTGGTTATACATGACACACACTTACGTATACAATGGCATAAGCATAGAAGCAAAAGATCAGTATTCGACTGCCATAAGGACTCCTCGACTCTTTCACTCACCAACATTCAAGAACGATGGTCAGAAAAATAAAGGGCAGCAGCTTTAGTTTCTTTACCATCCAAGATAAAGGGCTTTCTGTGCAACTTAAGTCAAACAACTTTTCCCACTTTCACATTGTTTTGTCACAGCTCACAAAGACTAAAGGGAGCTGAAACTTCTATCGACATTTATATCCAAAATATTTTTAAATTATGTTGCTTTCTATTATATACCGATTCTTTTTGCTTCCTCCGTTCCCTCTTCATGGCATTTCAGATTTCTCATGGGGATTAATCCCATACATTCTGATATTCTCCCTTGAGTACTGTAGTCATCTCTTGGGCTTATTCTCAAGTCATTTTCTCAACTAGATCGGTAGGTTGGATATTAATTGCAGTTAAAATATTTAGGAATAAGCCAGCTAGCGAATTGGCACTTATAATTAAATTAACAACATTATGCTTATATCTCATCAAGAAGGTTATCTTTGTTGATAAAATATTCTTGAAAAAGTTTTGCAAAAGAAAAGATCTTTATTTATGGTCGGTCCATGATGTGATGAGAAAAGTCCTCATGCATTATTTACAGGTCTATTGCTACATGAATACATTTCACCTTATTTTCTTAGTAAAGAGCAGAGACAGATAATCAAAGGCACTGAAATAGTGAAAGCACTTCCATGTGGCCACCATAGAAGAGACAATGACTTGGACAAACAGCAACACGGATAAGAACTTGCTTGATTATGTTTCGAATGAATGGAAACACAACCCATCCGCTGTGCTGGCATATGATGAACTCTAGTATTTTTTGGACAATTCAGCCCATTTTCCTTACGATCTATTTCTGGAAAAGAAAAAACTTTCCCTGTCTTCTTTTTCTTTCTTATCACCACTTTCCCTTTTCTCCACACCAAACTTTCTGAGTGCTGGGAATTTTTCCTCATGCCTCGTTGAGCTAGCTTGATAGTAATGGATGTAGGAAGTATCACCTGTTAATCCAAAAACATTGAATGAAGTTGTGCTATGCGTGTCATTGAATTTCTTAATTATCCACTGGATAGTGTTCTCGCTTCGTTGAAGCAATGTTAATATATTTAAAAAAAAAAGAAAAAAAAATCCACAACCTAACATTATAAAAATAAAATTAAAAAATATTATAATTATCAATCCCCAATAATCCAAACATATAAAGATAAATTTTTTAAAAAATCACTTAACAAAAAAAATTCTAAAAAAGTAAAATGACAAAAAAATCAAGTGAGGTCAATAAAACTCGCAAATGAAAAGTTATGTGAATGAAGTAACCTAATAAAAAAAAATAGCAGGTTTACTCGTTACCCAAAGCTTAGGGTGGGTCGAGTTTCAAAAGAAATTTGAGAATAATTGACCCTGTGTGAGATAATAAAAAACATGGGTCGACTGTGACCTAGTAAAATAATTTTCTTTTTAATTTGAAGAACTCAATGTTAACTATAAAAGTCTTGAATACTTGCAAAAAAACAATTTCAATCTAGAGGACTTCAATTGAAGAGTCTTAAATTTTTATGAGAAAAATATTGAATGGCTTAAAGTAATAAATAATTTTGAAGAGTTTTAAATTCTAAGGACAAAAAATAATAATTTATTCTTGGGTTTTAAGTTTGTTAATAATTTAAAATCTTTATATATTTTTTAGAAAGAAGAGAGTTTGTGTATGTTTTATCTAAATTGTTCAAAATATATTTATACTCTATAAACCTTGTTGTTTTCATAAAAAAAAAAAGAAGCTAGAAAGTCCTCTGTTTTCAGTGATATTAATGGAAAGTAAAAATCTCTTATATATTATTAATAAGATAATAATTATAAGTGGTCTCTTAAGAGATTTTATATATACCTATAAGTATATGAAAATCATTATCTTAATATGTATAATTATTCTATATTAAAAATTATAATGATTTATCATATCTTTAATATTTATATTATAAAAAATTGTTTAAAAAATTGTTTAAGATATCTTAGAATTAGTAATGTCACACCTTGAAATTAACTGTCCATCAAATCTAACACATTTAGTTTAACAAGTTTGCTAATTATATATAATTTTAAATTTAGTTTGCTATCAAGTCCATATATATTGTATTTGATTGATTGTTAAAATTTAAGTATTTTGTGTTTAATATATTTACTGGATTCATTTGATTTAAAAAAATGTCTAAAAATAAAAATTTTAATAAAAAATTGATTCATCACTATTCATTTCAATAAATAGTGATGTGTTCTTATAGCTAAAGTAATTTCCCTTCGAGTTTTAGGTTTTGGTTAATGTAAAGGTGGACCCTGCTATTGCAAAATTTGCTCCATGCGTGGAGTTGCCCCGTGAGAGTTAAGATAAGAACTTAGATTATACGGGAGATTAAAATTCTTTGCTGATACAACACAATATGGGCTCAATGTGTTAATAATTAAAGATCACAAACATTTAACATTTAAGTATATTTCAAAAAGAAAATGTTTTTTTTTTTTTAAGATTACAATAAAATGATTATGCCCCCACTTGTGAAATAGTACACTTGATCGTTTACGATCGTCTCAATTATAATTATATGAAGGAACAGTTTGGTACTCAGTTCAAACTGTCTTTTTTTTTTTCCGTATAAAAATATTTTCTAACATTCTCACCAACGAAATCTATCTATAATCAACCTTCATCAAGTATCTTCCTTCTGGCATGTGAATGTAAGTCTCTCCAGAAGGAAGTTTGGTTCAATGAGGGAAGCAGCCAATCCACCAGTATCCGAATTTGAGTCACCGAAGTTAAAGATTGCTGGGAAATCAATCACAATTTTCCAAAGCAAATATGGGGTTCACAATGGCATCTTAAGTCACGAAAACCATACAAAAAGAAGAGAAACTGATTACAGAAATGTTAGCGCTCGGAAACACCATGTTGAAAGCGAAAATAGCTTTCGAGGGACTAGAAGGGAGATCTTTAAGACTTGTATTGTACTCTGCACTTGACAGTGATATTGCAGACCTTTCCATTATTTCTAGACTTTCTAGGTATAAATAATGGGTGAAGCCAAGGTTAATTTCCAAATATTATGTCGACATCCACATTAATGGTGTGTATTTCAAGAGGATTATGTTCGCGTCCTGATCCCATTAGAGAAGATCCTGCCGAAATATTTCATTATTAAGTTAGCCCCCCACCACCCCGCCCCCCGCCCCTTTTTTTCTCCTTTCAATGCGTCATCTTAGTTGACAGGAAATAACAGAGTGCATTTCTTGTTCCAAGTTAATTATTTTTTATTTGGCTTTTGATCACCAAACTAATTGGTTAGGGAATAGGCTGAAATATTTTTCTGTCGAGCTTTATTAAAAATACAGAATATATATGTTACATAGATTCCATTTACATTGAAAAGTAGGGGAGGAGTTATTATTGGAGCTAGTTTGGAACATCTCATGTTTTTCTCTCCCGAGGAGAGATGATATATGAGATCAACAGTTTTTTGTTCACCCTTAAGATCCAAGGAATGGATAGAGAGGGAGGCATTTTGTTGCGATTTGTACATTTTAGAATGATATTGAAAGCACAGAAATTATACATTCCTGTGGCATGCCATGTTTAAGGGAATTGGCGGATCAGAGAAGGCTCCTGTCGAAATTCGATCGAAAACAAACTTGCTAGCAGCCTCGGTATAGTGGACTCCGTCCCAATCTACTCGAACAGAGGGGTTGTCACATGAACCGACAACCACTTTGGCATTATTTACTGTAATTGTTTCTCCACATCCTGCAGCATCACTGTAGTTGTACTTGCCTCCATAGCCACAGCAGGTTATAAGTGGAAGCTCAAATCCTATACACCATTTGTAACGGAAAACAAGATCAATTTGTAATAAAATAAACCATGTTTTCTGATTTATCTATTGGTTTTGTTACTTTCGTGTCCTTTTCAAGTTTAAACCAATTGCTTTACTGCTGTGCGTAAATTATTACACAACAAACTGTGAGGTGTTGTGAAATCATGGAAACTGTCTAGAAGTTTATATAAAAATTCCTTTCTCAACTAATTAAAATGTCATTAATATTTTAAAATCTTTTTTATATTTAAAATATTAAAGCATTTAATGTACCAACACAATTTTCTACAATATTTTCTTAAACTTGGAGTGGGTTTTTGAAAATATCTTTTATTATCTAATATAAATAAGTTTAATTTTAAATTACATGAAAAGATTATTGCATTTAAGCGTGTTTTTCATTATTAATTATTTATATCAAACAAGCAAACAAGCATGTAAATTCAATAACTTAAATTATTGGGTAAATCATATCTTAGCATTTAAATCCTATAATTTAAATTATTAGATAAAATTTTAAGATATAATTTATATATTTTTTAATATACTTATTTGAATAAAAGTTTTATAAGTTTGAAACTTGCATAAACTCATATTATATTATATTTAATTTTTATAAAATAAATAGAGATGATCAGATTCTAACTCGTGATCGCTTGATTATTAAAACTCTGATATTATGTTAAAAAATCATCTCATCTCAATAATTTTAGCTATTAAATAAAATTATAAAATATAATTTATATAATTATCTAATAAATTCGTATAATATAACTTACCATATTTCTTGGGTTCAATGAATAAAAAATATTTCACAGAATACACGTCCACGTATGTGAATGCAGCTGAAGGAAAATCTTTCCTTAATTGAAGAACAGCCTCCTTCAATTTGTAATTAAAATACCGAGCCACTTCATTGTGCTGCTTTGCACAGCCAGCACCGTCCTTCTCTGCTGAAGGGAAGCCGGTCAGGATGTAAGCAAGACAACCAATTGGTCCTGTGCTATGAATCCAAAACGATCTGCCTCCCACTTCGTATATATTCTGCACCGATCAAAACCACTCCAGTAGTTTAAATATATTATTGTAACATAAAATTAATATGAAAGTAATAAATATAAACAGCCTTCAGTAATGGCTCATTATTAAGGATTACCTTAACATATATCGAAAACCTGTTGACAATATCAGGGACAGTTGCTTTCACTTCCTCAATGGACATGTTGCTGAAAAATCCAGCTCCAAGATCATTTTGACCAATGTCAAATGTGTATAGTGCTTTTCGGAAATAGTCCTCCTTAGGCATCAACTTGGCAAACTTTCCTCCTGCATACAGATTGAACATCGATGAGAAAATCGTTTCCAATTGCATCTTCTACGTACAGTTGACTGTCATCTCCAGAATAGACCCCAAAAAATAGATTTTGATTACGCACCTTGTTTCCTAATGATCTGTGATCTGTCTTTAAATTGCATAAATTGCTGATATTGCACATCAAGGTAGAATGGACTATATCCACCACTAGCAGGTATAATTGGAGACGGAAATCTGATGGTGGCTCTTGCTGAGGCAAAATTCGCTCCATGTGTGTAGCTGGCGCCCAGAGAATTAAGATAAGCACTGAGATATGGTAGATTGAAACTCTTTGCTGATCAAACAAAAGATCATTAAAGATTAATTAATAAGAGATCCACACATTTTTTTAATTTTTTTAAAATGGGAGGTTCAAACTTATAACCATGTCCACACATTTTGACAACGAGATGCAGTAAGAGATCCAGACTTTCATGAAGATGGAGGCAAATTGCACGCTTGTACTTTTGAAAGGACCAGTTCATGCAACTTTGAGGAGATAACATATGCATATGTTACTCGACGTACAAGCATAATAACTTACCAATGAAATCTATGATCAGCCTTCCATCTGAGAACCTTCCCGCGGGCATGTGAAAGTAAGTGTCTCCATTGGGAGAGTTAAGGGCAGTGAAGGCAGCTGACAGTGTGCCAGTATCAGAGTTTGAGTCGCCCAAGTTAAATATTGCTGGAAACTCGCAGATTCTCGAAGCAAAGATGGGATTCAGGATGCTGGTGAGAGTTACAAACAACATAAGAAAATAACTCAAAGTGATAACAGACACATTAATACTAGTAAACCCCATAGTTTAGAGTTTGTGAGCAAATATACTGTAGGAATCTAGTTTTTGCGACGAGAAACTATAGAGGAAAGTTTGGGTTTATATAGCGTAAAATGGAGCGGGCCTCTCCAGAACGGGGGCGGCTTAGTTTACGGGATCAGAGGCATGAATAATAAAGGTCAAACCTGACTGAAGTACTCAACCTTTAAGGACAGTTTCTATTAGATTCTCAATGTAACAGTAGATTTTCAGTTTGATAATTTTCATTAAAATTATGAAATAGTCATGTGAAGTTTACATCATTTTTTCTTTTTTCATAACAAAATCAATGAATCCTTGATCTTCATTTTGAATCATGTGAACATATTACAAAACTCTTACATTTCTTTGTATAGTCTATTTCATGTCATGATACGAGAATTTTTAATAAATTCATGAGTTTTTCACAAAATAAATAGAAAAACAAGATTTTCATATAATTTTTAACCATTTTATTGATTTAAATAAATAAAAATATTCAATTGAAAATTCATTAATATATTAAATACCTAATTGAAAAGTTGGAGACATATATATATATATATATATATATATATATATATATCAAATTGATATTTTTTTTAGTGTTTATCAATAAAATTAATTTCTTAATACTAAAAATAAAAAAATCTAAAAACAATTATTCAAAAATTAGTATTTTGCCCAGGGATTAATAGGAGGCCAATGGCTTGAACAGGCCACCGTAGTAAATTAAAAGAGAGAGAGAGAGAAGTTAGACTTTCATTTCTTTTTTTTTTCTAGTCCCATATTCAAGGTTAATCATATCTTGCATCTGAAAGAACAAAAGGAAGATAAGGTTATCGTGCTGGTAATTACGTTACGTACACGTAAAAAGCGGCGTCTCGGGTTTTTCCCCCCCTTGTATCAGAGAAACCTTTAACCTGGTTTTGTTCTTTTTTCAAGATTACATATACAATTTCAGTGTGAAACGAGAATTATTTAACGGTTGTGCGTCCTTTTTCTTCTTTGAGTTTGAACCATACGTCTGAACGATGAGATGAAACAACAATTGGCAACAAGGAAACCCTTCCAATTTTGCTTCTCTCGTGATGATTGAGATTGATTTAATCCATTTAATTTGATGTCTTGCCCCACTTAATTTCTGTGCTTGGAAATGATTTAAGCCGCCCTAGGAAATACAGTTTGATTTGTGCTATCAGATTTATTATACAACTGGGCAAGTTTCAACATAAACTGTTATCTCAGACGACATATTTCAATGAAAAACTCCAACTAGATTTTGTTATACATACTCCTTACAGATATTGCTCTACTGTTGTATTATAATCCGAACAATTAGATTTTGATTGAAAGAGCTTGAATCACTCGTGCAATAACACTCTCAGAAAACAAAGCAATCAACTAATAGTTTATGGTTTGAAGTAAAACAGCCAAAATCTAGGCCTGGCCATCCAAAGTGGTGGTCAAATGGGCTCTTCATCATGGTTGAAACCACCTCCGAGCGGTCCTTTTCCACTGTGGAACAAATGGTAAACACTAACTTATAGCGAACGTATATGTGACATGTTAATGGATTCAGCACCTCCTGTGTCTTGAATACATAGTAAATTCATCAATTCCCTGTTGATTTGAAATCCATTATTACAGATTAACCGGTGGGTAACTTGCTTTTTTTACACTGTAGGAAAAACTCATCCACCTGATCACAATCTTTTTTTCTCTCTCGTTACGTAATTTGTTGGAAAATTTGTATATTGGTTCCCTTATTAATTCTTTTTTATTTTTCTTTTTTTTTTAATTTGAGTTTCTGTGTGTTTGAAAATGGAACGATCAAGTATATTTATTTTGAGAGTACCGTTTTGCTTTCGGGTGTCCGTTGTCACGATACTCTGCACAAGGAAGAATTCTTAAAGTACACAGTATAGTTGCAACTTGACAGGATCCGGGTTATTTCGTGGATCAGATTTATTTTAACGTAATAAAACGATACCTAGTTAGTTGATGATAGTGTTTTTAAGAAAATAAAAACAAAATCAGGGTATGGATCATTGATTTGAATGTTTTTTAAATATTTTTAAAATGTTTCAACAATTTTATTTGATAATAAAATAAAATAATTATATAAGAACATAATAATTTTATAAAAAAATAAAAGAAATTTGAAGCTCAATTACTAAGAAAAAAATATTGAAAAATGAAGTGAAGAGAATAATTTAAAAAGAATAAAACAACCCAACTTCAATAAACATATTAAATTCATGAAATCCCGTGTATAAAAAATTAAATAAAATAATAAAGATTAACTTGTAAATAAAATAAATAATAAAAAGATAAAAATTAAATTAAATTAAATTAAATTTTTTAAAAAAAACACTTAGTTAACTCGTGTTAGCTTGATTAAGATTTTTGAAAGAGTCACTTAGTTAACTCATGTTAGCTTGATTAAGATTTTTGAAAGAGTTACTTTTATTAGTTCTTATTTTTGTTTTTATTAATGTTGTGTTTGGTCTATATTTTAGGGTAAAAGAAATAAATATAGAAAAGATAAAAAAAAATTTAGTTGAATAAATAAAATAACTTTGTTTCAAGGAAAATTTTTAAATGAATTTTTAAAATATAAAGTACATAAAGATAAATTTTTTCCCCAAGATACTAACCAAGCGTCACATAACTGAATTTACTAATTATTTTCTTTTGATAAAGGTTTATAATATGTCAAGGATGTTTTTATAATTAACTCTTATTTTTAATAGATGGTAGTTTTGCTTTGTGAAATAGTAAAAATATTGAACTTACAATCACAATTATGGTGCAGATTCGAGTTTTGAGAGCAAACATTTTTCTCATGATGATAGCTGGTTCGATAAATGGTATAGAAATGCTAATTACATATCTAAGCGACACTAAATTTCTAGGTAGCATCCAACAGAGGGAAAATGTAGCCAAAATTTTGATAAAACGAACAAATTTTGACACTAAAGGAGCTATGGAAATTCCAAGCATAAATGAAGAGACATATTTATTGCCGTTTCCCTGAGTGTACGTACACTCGCTGAGCAAACCTTGTTTGTTGAACTTAACCCCATTTCGATTCACCTGCAACGAGGAGCCTCTGCCCAAATTAACCAATATATATATATATATGCTGCTTACTGTAATTGTTTATCCACTTCCAGATACTGGTGCTCGAATGTGGCTGGCTGGGTATGTGGAAAATTTTCGGTGTCTAAGCGCATATACATTGGTGAATTGGTCTCAGAAAGTCAAAATATGTTAATCCGATGCATAGGTGCCAGCTTAAGGGAATTGTGTTTCACTAAATAAAGAGTACATACATGACATCTAAAATTGACGGTAATGCTAAGAACAAGAAGAAAAACCATTAATTTTTCTGTTTGGAGGGGAGAAAAGAGGGGAGCAAAGTCAATTTTGTTGTCCTGTGGCAGCCGAGCCTCTGAAGTCTGAACAGAGAAAACATCCATTATAAATCCTCTGAATTTTATGGTCCAGCGCCTCCTGGACAAAAAGATTGAAGCTCGCTAAGTTACGATGCTATGGCTGGGATTTGAGTTCCAGCCAATAACAATAACCTTGCTGGGTTCTTTCGGCTGCAAATCGACTCTAAATACACAAAATGAAAATTCAAGTTTCTATCTTGCAAGAGGAATAAAAGGAAGCAAAATCTTTGGTGGCATATCAATTTTGTTGATTGATCAGGAAGCGGTTTATACATCAGTGAAACTGGCATTTAAGTACTAATACTTTCTTTTGTTGTTCACGAACAAATTTAAGACTGGGTCGATGTACAGGGCATTTTCTTCTGCTGCTTTTATCAGGAGTGTTGGACATCAAACATAAGTGATTCCAGACCATGACGAGATTCCAGCAATAGCCAATTAAACTATAGCTAAATTTGGTTACACACTGGGAATACTCGACTTAAGTGCGCTTCGGTGCTCTTGATTTTCCTTTGAAAGAGTGAAAACCCCCTAAAAGGCACCTCAATAGAGAAGCTCGTTGTGAACAGAATGCTGTCTTCGTCGCACACTAGCCTGCGTATGACCATACTAATTTTGAAATTCTTACCTTCCAGGATACTTAATCTAGCGGAGCTCCAAAGCCATACAAATCTCCAAAAGAAATATAGCAATCATGGCATGCATGATCTCCTACTCGAGCAAATAGGGCCTTTTTTGTCGATTCTCCTTCGTAGAGATCCATTTGTTGATCGCTTATCAGAATATGGAATAGAAATTGGAATTTCTGATCGAGTGAGACTGTTGTTTACCTCCTAGCACTGAACCCTTACAGTTTATTTGTGTCTCCACATTATATTCTCTCTCCACAATTTCTAGTAACGTTTTCTACATTTCCTAACATCTTCAAAGGCACCTTTCGGTCTCCCTTTATGTAAAGATGTCCTGGAAAAGTCCATTTTCCACATGATGACAATCATGAAAATGGCTATGATTTACAGTTATATACGGTCAAGGCACAGAAAAAATTGAGATCGATGATTGCTCTACTGTGTGGCTCCAGGAGACCCGACCAATACGGCCGTGAATTCGGCATCTCCTTTTAGAATAGACATCATTGCTGCAAAAGTCTAGCTGCTGCATGCAAAGCTCTCTCTTCCTATGATTCCTTCATTGCCAAATCAAAGACGCCTTCAGCTCGTAAAGAACTTGAAAAGATCTTACTCTAATAGCAATATTACGCGGAAACTCAGTGGAGATTAAGAACTTGTTTTATTAGCAGAAAAGTTTTTTTTTTAAAAAATAAATTATTTTTTAATATTTGATAGTGTTATAAAAAATATATTTTAAAATACTTTTCAGTTTTCTTTGGCTATGTTATAAAAAAATAAATTAAAAATAACTTATTAATATTTTATTTTTTTTAATTTTATTAAAATAATAAAAACAAATTTTACAAATTAAAAAGTTTAATGAGAATAAAATTAAAAAAATCTAATTTTATAAATTAACTCAAATAAAATAAATAATAATTAAAACAATAGGCATTAAATCTAACAAAAAAAATTAAAAATGATAAAATTAAAATAATTATAATTATGATTTTATAAATTATTTTAAGTAAAATAAGTAACAATAAAAAAATAAAGATTAAATTTGATAAATAAAAAAATTAAATAAAAAAATTAATAAGAAAAAAATAAATAACTATCATAAAAATAAAACCAAAATCAATATAAAAATTAAATTAAATTAAATTTTAAATGATGAAAATGAAAAAAAAATTCAAACAAAGTATTTAGCAATTAAAAATTTAAAGACCAAATTTAACATAATTAGAAAATAATATAATATTTTTAAATTTTTCACTCAAAATAAAAAAAATATATACTTTTTAAAAAATTAAGCCAGATTTTTCCTTAATAGAAAAATATTTTTATTGATTAAAAAATATTTTCTATTAATTAACTCTTTTAATAATAAAAACATATAAAAGAATTGAAAAAACCACTTCCTAGAAGACAAAAGCCCTAAACTGCGAGAACTCTTTCTCTCATGTTATTCAGCATTTACAAGCCTCAACTTTGAAATAATATTAAAGACGACAAAGCCTCACGGAGAGAAGAATATATAAAATTGGAGCACAACGTTAATGTCCCTTCAAACTCATCCATTCGATATATCAGACTACTATTCTCCCGTCAAACCTGGATGGTTGATGGACTTTGGTCCCTTCAACATCCACACTGCTTTCTTTTAATGCTTCTCAACACTGCTCTGTACAAGTCACACTCTAATATATGACAGTAAACACACATACAGAGAACAAAATTAAAGGAATCGACCACGTATACATGAAAGTATCTCAGGGAAACTTCTGGTTTAGTTTTTGATGTGTAACCGATACCATTTGATTACACCTATGAAGAGGCTTGCTCCGGATACATCAGGTGTAAATTGGAGTGCTAAACTGGTCAACAGAAGAAGGCTGCAAGGCACGGATTTTAACATCATATTTTCGATGTTTGGAAACTTCACAGGCTGAGGAAGAGTCAGATCCGTCTGCTACAAGTGGATATGCTGAAGCTTTGTCATCATAAGCAAATCCAATATGATTACCACACTTGCGGCAAAGAAGTGCTGTTCTCCGGTGGAACAAGCCCCAGGAGTTTCTTGAAAAGAAGGGAATGCATTGAAATTCATCAACCTGGGTAAATCTGCTCTCATCGATGAAGAAGAATGAAATGATCCCTTTCTTTATGGATTTCCCATATTTAGAGCCAATAGATGAGGTGTTCCGATTGGAGGAGCTCAAGTTCAATTCATACCCGCAAATACCGCAGCTGCACCAAAGTTCATTTAATTTTCTACGCTTAAAAACACAAAGCCCATGCAGAAACAACCAAATCCACAACGATCCAATAAAGAATGTATGGGAAGCTCATAAAACAACAATTGATGGATAATGGGAAGCACATAAAACATCCATTGATGGATAAAATCTTACATGTTAATGTAACTAAATTGAAATATCACTTTTGCCTCTCTTGTCATTTTTCCATCAGTTCGTTTGCGATTCAAAACAAGGTGAATAGATGATCAAGATCTCATCTGACAATCTTATTAAAACCATTTCTGTAATGGCCTCGTTCACAATTACAGTCTAGTAAATAAAGGGTAAAACTAACAGCTGTTATTACGAATGATGGAATGTAGAAAAGAACTCCTTCTCGTAATAGAAAATTTAATTCACCTTTTCCTAAACCAGAGGTGTTCAAATAATTTTACTGGCCATGACAATTTTCCTGACACCCATTCCAGAATTATGTTTAAGTTCTGTACCAGTGCTAACTGCCCATAACATTGTTCAAAACTTAAAAAAGCGCAAGACTTTTAGTTCCCAAGCTTACAAATTGACTTGACATATCAATTAGTCTCTTGTTTTACATCCATTTAGAACAATTCTTCCAAGCTCATTAAGAAGCCAAGTTTCCTTTCACCAGGAAAAGAACCTATATATATACTGGACAAGCCAAGAAAATAAATCAGATGTCCTGCACATGCCTCAATTTGATCATGAATTGAATACGGTGAATTTCCAAAACAGAACAGAAAACAAAGGACAGTCAACCAATTTGAATCAATAAAAAGAAAAACCCAATAACAAAAAAAACTCGATCCTTCATCGAAAAAGAATAGAAAAGAAAAGAAAAGAAAAGAAAAGGGACCCAGTATTTAGTGGGACAGAAAGAACCTGTAGCTGACATGTCTTTGAGAAGCAGAGGAAGAAGAGAAGGAATGATGGGGATTCCCGTTGAGGTAAGCTTCCTTGCCAACCTTAGATTTTTCCATTTCTGCTTCTTGATCAACGGCTGTGATCGTGATTGGGACTTGAACAATGATACAATTGGTGAGTTAATGATGATCAAAGACAGTCTTGCGTGCAATTGGGTTTGTAAGGAAATCCTGCCTGATTCGGGTGACTTAAACTGACCAAGTTCAAGACAAGAGATAGCTTCTAGAGAGAGATGTGAAAGGGTTTTTGCGGAGAAGAAGAAGAAGAAGCTGGGCGAGGAATCAAAGCAATGAAAAGGTTATTGGATTGGTGTCTCCTAGGCTGTCCTTTTCTTTTTTTGGAGACGAGAACGGGAAAAAAAAAAAAGTTTAATTAAGTAATTTGATTGATTAATGCGAGTAATTAAGTGTCATTACGAGGTCCACATACTATTATTAAAGGTGTTTAAATTGCATTATTGTTTCAACAAAAATAAAATTGTAAATTGCATTATTATTCTACGTGTATATATTTGAGTTGTTAACTAGAGGTAATTAATAATTATTATAATGGAGGGTGGTTGTTTGTTTGTTCGTCGAGCATATGACTTTTAGGAAAGTATTTGATGATTATGATTTATGATTGCCAATTTGTTGGATAATCCAATTTTAATTTAATTAATTTATGTCTAATCTATTTTCGCGCTAACAATCATGAGCACTATGTCTTGGTGATTTCTCAAAGATGATTAGTGAGTGTTTAGTGAACTTTTGTTTGTTTTATGTGTTTTTAAATTATTCTTTATTTAAAAATTATTAAATTAATATTTTTAAAATATATTTTTATAATTTCAACGTATTAGTATTATTTTTATTTGAAAAAAAACTTTAAAAATATAATATACTATAATACACAAACTATGAAAGTGTCAATCATATAAATTTAAATATAAACTATTAACAAGTTGATGATGTAAGGAGTTAACTACTATTAGTATATGAAAGTTCAGAAAATTTATTTATATGTAAAGCAACCACCACTGTAATGTAATGGCAAAAATTACTATATTTATTTGGTTTTTTATGTTATTTTTATTAAGAGTATGTTAGCATTGCAGTGTGATTGTATTTTTTTAAAAATATATATTTTTTAATTATTTATTTATATTTTTTAATTGTTTTGACCAATTAAAAATAAATTTTAAGAAAAAAATATTATTTAAAATATTTTTAAATAAAAATTACTTCAAAAAAATAATTACTCCTAATAAACACTACATGAAATTCTGTTATGGTTGAACTTGTTATTTACTAGATCCACTTGTCATCCTCTATTAAATTCTGCATAATTTAGTGAAGTTATATGCAGTATAAAATTTAACGTCTATTTCGAGAACTGTCGAGTAAAAATTTGGAAAATTTTGAAGCTATTTTAGGAACAAAAGAAAAAAGAAAAGAAAAAAGGAATACGAAGGCAGTTTTCTTGGAATATTCCAAAATCATTGCAGAATTAGCTCCATCTAAAAATAAATAAATTATTTTTATTTGCGTCGGAGCAGAAGCTAGAACTAAAACAAAGAAAGAAAGTGATTTTAAATTTTCTAAAGAAGTCAGCAACCTATCCGGAATACCAAAATTTCATTGTACGGCGGCAGACGTTGTCCAAATCATGTCGACATAGTGAGCATGTTTGGACATAGAAACCAAAGCCGTTTACTTTTTAAAGTAATCGTCCGTAATATATTATGGTGCAGTGTAATTAAAAATACTTTTAGACTTATCATGATTTTAAAAATTACTGGGTTTTTATTATTTAAACTTTTAAAATTTTAAATTATAGTAAAAACTTGATTTTCTTAAAAAAATATATAATCTATAACTTTTTTCAAATCTATTTTTGTAAATAAAAATCTCTGGAATACCGAAAACTGTTGAAGCATGCATTAAGTTTTAATGTTTTCAGTTAATAATTCCCTGATGTTAGGGTAATCTGTTAGTGCATAATAATATTTGAATTGGTTTAGATTTCTCACCATATTTTTAGGAAGTAATAATGTAAAGTTTGTTTTTCTATTTTTATTCTGTAAAGGCTTATATATATAGCCATTAGTGACTAAATAAAGGTATGCTTCATTCTTTTAAACACTGAGAGTTATTCATTATCAGTAGCTGAGAGTTAACAAGTGGTATCAGAGCCTCCATCACAGGAGCCTGATTGAGTGTTCTAAAAAACTACAGTTTCTTAAGGAAGAAGCAAGAGTGAGTGAGTGATCAAACAAAAGAGAGAGTGGAGACTTATGGCAGGAGAAAATAACAATTTTGTTCAACCCGCAATTCCACGGTTTGATGGTTATTATGATCATTGGGCTATGCTCATGGAGAATTTTCTCAGGTCAAAAGAGTATTGGGATTTGATAGAAAATGAGATACCTGTAGCAACAGAAGAATCAACAGAAGCACAACGGAAGCTCATTGCAGATTTGAAACTAAAGGATTTAAAAGTCAAGAACTATCTATTCCAAGCTATAGATAGACATATTATTGAGACCATTCTCAATAAGGAGACTGCAAAGACTATTTGGGATTCGATGAGATTAAAGTATCAAGGCTCTACAAAGGTGAAACGTGCTCAGTTACAGGCTTTGAGAAGGGAATTTGAGATTCTTGGCATGAAGGAGGGTGAGAAGGTCAATGAATATTTTTCTAGAACACTGATCATTGCAAATAAGATGAAAACACATGGAGAAAAAATAGAGCAGAGTGTGATCATTGAAAAAATCTTAAGATCAATGACTCTTAAATTCAATTATGTTGTGTGTTCGATTGAAGAGTCTAATGAGTTGTCTACTATGACCATAGATGAACTTCATAGCAGTCTGTTGGTTCACGAACAGAGAATGCATGGACAGAAGGAGGAAGAACATGTTTTGAATATCATTAATTCAGAAAATGATAGAGGAAGAGGTGAATACAAGTTTGAAGGAAGAGGAAGAGCTCGTGGGAATTTTAGAGGAAGAGGTCGAAGCAGGGGTAGGCAACCTTTCAATAAAGCTCTTGTGGAATGTTTCAGCTGTCATAGGCTTGGTCACTATCAATATGAGTGTCCTCGTTTGAAAACTGCTGCAAACTATGCTGAGTTAGATGAAGATGAGGAGATGCTGTTAATGTCATACATCAAGATGAATAATTCAACAGCACAAGAGAATGTATGGTATTTAGACTCCGGGTGCAGTAACCACATGTGTGGTATTAAAAGTTTTTTCTCAGACCTTGATGAAAAGTTCAGACAGTCTGTAAAACTTGGAGATAATTCAAAGATGATGGTGATGGGGAAAGGAAATATCAGACTTCAAATGGGTGGCATAACTCAAGTAATCACTGAAGTTTACTTTGCACCTGAATTAAAAAATAATCTTCTGAGTGTTGGCCAGCTACAAGAAAAAGGTCTTACAATTCTTATTCAAAAAGGGATGTGTAATATTTATCATCCAAGGAGGGGATTAATTATGCAGTCTAGAATGTCAACAAATAGAATGTTTGTTGTGTTGGCTTCAGTAATGCCTCAAGTTACAACATGTTTTCAAACTATGACTGAAAATAACTCACATCTGTGGCACTGTCGATTTGGACATCTTAGCTTCAAGGGTTTGAGAACTCTTATCTATAAGAAAATGGTGAGAGGACTTCCAAATCTCCAAGCTTCATCAAAGGTGTGTTCAGACTGCATGGTGGGAAAGCAACATCGTGAGGTCATTCCCAAGATGAGCCTATGGAGAGCTTCACAACGTCTTCAACTAATTTATGCTGATATCTGCGGACCTATCAAGCCTGAATCACATAGTCATAAAAGGTACTTAATCAATTTTATTGATGACTACAGTAGGAAGACTTGGGTTTATTTCTTATCAGATAAATCTGAGGCATTTAATGTATTTAAGAAATTCAAAGCACTTGTTGAAAAAGAAAGTGGTAATTCTATTTGTTGCCTACGTACTGATAGAGGTGGAGAATTCACCTCCTTGGAGTTTAATCAATTTTGCAGCACACATGGAATAACTAGACAACTTACTGCCTCTTACACACCCCAACAAAACGGGGTGGCTGAGAGAAAGAATCGTACTGTCATGAATATGGTACGCAGCATGCTGTCAGGAAAACAGATTCCTGAGGAGTTTTGGTCTGAGGCTGTCAACTGGGCAATACATATATTAAATCGAAGTCCAACTTCAGCTGTAAAGGAGGTAACACCTGAAGAGGCCTAGAGTGGTAACAAACCTTCTGTGCATTATTTTAGAGTATTTGGATGCATTGCTCATGTCCATATTCTAGACAAACGAAGATCAAAGTTGGATGATAAAAGTGAGGAATGTATCCTGTTAGGTGTAAGTGAGGAGTCCAAAGCATATAGGCTATACAATCCAGTTTCAAAGAAGGTGATGATTAGTAGAGATGTGGTATTTGTCGAAAATGAGAAATGGGATTGGAAAAGAAGTAATGAAGAGATAAAAGTTGATGTATTAGAGTGGGGTGATGAAGAAGAAATCAGGACTCAAGAATCTGAAGAAGGTGGGAATGCTAATATTGAAGAAGTAGATGGTGTGAATGCTGAGATTGAAGAAGTAGACAGAGGAGATTTTAATTCTCCATCTGGAGACTTAAATGCAAATGCAGAAGGTTCTTTAAATCCAGCTCAAGGGAGGAACAGAAGAGAGCCTTTTTGGATGCAAGATTATGTGTCAGGTGAAGGATTATTAGAAGAAGATGAGATTGAAAATTTTGTTATGTTCACTGCTTCAGAAGATCCTGTGTGCTTTGAAGATGCTTTCAAAAGTCTGAAGTGGAGAGAAGCAATGAAATTAGAGATCAAAGCCATCGAAGAGAATGAGACCTGAGAGTTAACAACATTACCAGAAGGAGCAAAGAAAATAGGAATGGAATGGGTGTATAAGACCAAGCTTAATGAGAAGGGTGAGGTTGACAAGTTTAAGGCTCGTCTCGTGGCAAAGGGTTACTCACAACAGCATGGTATTGATTACAATGAGGTGTTTGCTCCGGTGGCCAGATGGGATACTATCAGAATGGTTCTTGCTCTTGCAGCACAAAAGAGCTGGTGTGTGTATCAATTGGACGTGAAAAGTGCATTCTTGCATGGAGAATTAAATGAAGATGTATTTGTTGATCAACCACAAGGGTTCACGAAGAGGGGAGAAGAACATAAGGTTTACAAACTTAGAAGAGCTTTGTATGGACTCAAGCAAGCTCCCCGAGCTTGGTACAGCAGAATTGAAGGGTATTTCATTAAAGAGGGTTTTGAGAAATGCTATTGTGAACACACACTGTTTGTGAAAACTGAAGATGGAGGTAAGATTCTCATTGTAA